CGCAATTATGAAGAGCGCCTTTTTTGAAGATCCCAAAAGACTCTTCAATCCCGGAGATTCATCTTACGTATATCTTGCCCGTTCCATAGACATGGAAAAATCCTGGAAAAAACTCGGGAGGGGAAGATTAGCTTGAGCCGCTTTCGATCCCGTATGGAAGCTACAGACGAGCTGGGGCCTGGAAGCTCCCAGCCCAGCTGTTCCATTCAAACGTTCCTCCTGCGCTCTATTACGCAGCAAAGACGTGGCCTACACTATGGCTGTGTGGTTCTCCGAGAAACTCATAGAGCGCCGGAACGACGTCTTTTGCAACCTCAACAACATTAACGTATCGTCAGACTTTGAAGTTCGGATATGAGATCAACGTCTAGTTTTGCAATCCAGCAACTTCAAAGTCTGTAATACATCTCTAGAGCAAAACGTCAACGAACCGGTCACATAATGAGAAGAAAAGACGAAAGATACACACTTAGATTCTGAAATGGATCCCCTGCGAAGCAAAACATCCTCGATGACTAAATAGCCTGACATGTCACACGGTCAGCTGATATGGGATCTGGAGTCGCGAACGTCGTCTCCGCAGTTCAATACCAACATCGCAAATGACGCTAGCGAATCAAATAAGTAATAACGAATTATTGATGTTTTTAATTTCACATACAAGATGTATCAAAACCCCATTTTCTAAACTACAAAGGAGTTGGATGCAAAATTAATAAGTCTCGTCTCGTGTTAAAGTATGAGGAAAAACCTGCATATATATTAATGTGACCACGAAATCCATTTCTCTTATCAGTTCCCGTAGCGCAATACTGTAAGAACTTTTTCGTAATTTCTACTTCATACTAAATTTCTAATCAAACCTCGGCGGCAGGTCTCCGGAGAACAAGCTGGAATTCGTATTTGTGAAAAAAGCAAAGGGGAAATCGCATGGGGTGCGGAGAAGAGCCTGGAGTTTTATCTCAAACATGACCACTTTTTCCCCAACAAAATGTTGAAGCTTCCCCCTCCCCCCTCCTTCTTAACGCGGATGTTCATGCATTTAGCCTAGTATTTCCGTCTTATTCAATAATTAATTCAAAGTAATTCCATACACACTTAGCCGCT